GGTGAAATTGTCCGTATTAAATGAACAAGTTACTGCTTTGAAGGCGAAGGACGTACGGCGACAGTCACAACTTACTACTTCCCATGCTTCGGCCAACCCTGTCGTGCCTCGAGATTTATATGAGCTATGGGTTCATGCCAAAGCTCAGCTTGACGTATATAAGTCTCTTCGCGCTGATGGGAAAATATCTGAGGCGGAACTCTGAGAGGTGTGTATTAAAGCGTGTGTCGCTCGAAAGGATGTGGTTACGACCCCGACACGCCTGGTAGAGACGATGTTTATTTCGCTGATGCGGACAAACTCGCCTCCGATTTTTGGTACAATGAGGAGTATGCCATGGGGGTGATGTGGAATAGGACTTGGCTGTATTTATTTTGTTTTGTCATTTTTGTGGGGGAGCTCTTGAGCCCTTTGTAAAAAAGTTTTGTAATATAACAGCTGTAATGGAGCAATTACTTTTTATTGTGTACCTCTTAGTTGTTTTCTTGTTGTGTTTGTTCATTTGGCGATGTCCTTTGTCATAGTCGTGCTTATTTTGAGTTGTCGAAATGTTACCTATTGCATTTCGAGCGATATTGCTCTTATGTCAAACTTTTTCCTTTAGTAACGGCCTTATCCATAGGGATGTTGCTTTCGAGCTAATGTCGAAGTGTTATCCCGTTGTGTTTTGAGCGATGTCGAACTCTTTCTTATGGCAATAGCCTTAGCCGTGGGGTTTATTTCGACTTAACGTCGAAATGTTAACCCGTCGTGGTTTGAATGGTATCAAACTCATTTTCTATGGCGATGGCCTTAGCCGTGGGGTGTTATTTCAACTTAGTGTTGAAATATTAACCCGTCGTGGTTCGAGTGGTGTCGAACTCTTCTATGGCAATGGCCTTAGCCGTGGGGTGTTATTTCAACTTAGTGTTGAAATATTAACCCGTCGTGGTTCGAGTGGTGTCGAACTATTCTGTGGCGATGGCCTTAGCCGTGGGGTGTTATTTCGACTTTGTGTCGAAATATTAACCCGTCGTGGTTCGAGTGGTGTCGAACTCTTCTATGGCAATGGCCTTAGCCGTGGGGTGTTATTTCGACTTAATGTCGAAATATTAACCCGCCGTGGTTCGAGTGGTGTCGAACTCTTCTATGGAGATGGCCTTAGCTGTAGGGTGTTATTTCGACTTAATGTCGAAATGTTAACCCGTCGTGTTTGACGAAGGACGGTGGAGGGTAACATGCCTTATTTTATTCGCTGGAGTGTCACGTATGCCTGTTTCATTCATACATTGGAGTAATTTCATTCTTGCGTTGGAGATACATGTCGATTTTGTACATTCAACGGAGTAATTTCATTCATGCATTGGAGATACATGTCGATTTTGTACATTCAACGGAGTAATTTCATTCATGCATTGGAGATACATGTCGATTTTGTACATTTAACGGAGTAATATCCTTATACCTACTCCCTTCATTGCTCGGCCTAGAGATGCTATCGTCAGGCTTAGCAATAAATTATACCTTGAACATCGAGACATCTCCCTCGTCGCCTCATTAAAAACCTCCCCGAGAAAACCCGATTGGGACAAAACCCGAGTGAGGGAAAAAGAGTATGACTTAGGTGGCATCATTTCTCAAAAGTGGAAATATTTGAGGTGAGCGACATTCCAATTGTTTTGTAGTAGTTTTACTTCCATTATTTCTAATTGGAATGCTCCTTTGCTTGTTACTGCTATGATTTTATATGACCCGTCCCAGTTTGTTCCCAATTTTCCTTCATTTGGGTCTTTTGTTGCTTGTGTTTTGGCCTTGAGGACGTAGTCCCCGATTCTCAGTGGTCATACTTTGGCCTTCTTGTTGTAGTACCTTTCTGATTGTTGTTTTTGGGCTATCATTGTTATGTGAGCCATCTCCCTTCGTTCTTCTACCTCGTCCAGGTCTTGTATTCTATTTTCGTCGTTGCTCGGTCCACTCTCATTGGATTACCTCAGGCTGGGTTCTCCGACCTCAATGGGTATAACGGCGTCGGTACCATAGACCAGTGAATATGACATCTCACCGGTGCTGGTTTTTGGCATGGTGCGGTAGGCCCATAACACCTCTAGTAGTAGTTCCGGCCATAGCCCTTTGGCATCTTCGAGCTCTTTCTTTAATACATTCAATATTATTTTGTTGGAGGATTCTGCTTGACCGTTGCTGGCGGGGTGATATAGCGTGGAGAGTATCCGCTTGATGTGCCATTTTTCGAAGAACTCGATCGTCTTTTCCCTGACGAACTGAGGTCCATTGTCACAACTAATTTCCTTGGGGATGCCGAAACGACATATGATGTTTTTGCAGATGAACGCGATGACTTCATGTTCGCATATTTGAGCAAACGCTCCTACTTCCACCTATTTGGAAAAGTAATCAGTTAAAACCAGAAGGAAGTGTATCTTACCTCGCCTTGCTGGGAGGGGTCCGACGATATCCATCCCTAAATTTATAAATAGCAATGGAGAAGTAACGGAGTGCAGGAGTTCGCCCGCGTGGTGTATCATAGGGGTGTATTTCTGGCATTGCTCACATTTCTTGACGTAATCCGCGGCCTCTTTTTTTTATAGTGGGCCAGTAGTATCCTGCACAAATAAGACATCTGACCAGGGCTCGGTTGCCTATATAGGCATCGCAGTGGCCCTCGTGTACCTCTTCGAGCACACGCCTTGTTTGATTCGGTCCAAGGCATTTGGCCAAGGGACCGCCGAACGTCCTTTTGTAAAGGTCGTGGTTTATGAGGTTGTACCTGGCCGCTTGTATTCAAAGATTTTTGGATTCTTTTGTATCTTCTGGGAGTGTTCCCTTCTGCAAATATGATATGATACAATTGTGCCAGTCCCAAGTTAAATTTATAGAATGTACCTAGACTTGGTCTATTTGTGACTGGAGGAGGGTGACCACGTTTTCCTTGGTGATGTTCTTAGTTGCCGCTACCAGCTTGGCGAGGCCGTCTGCTTCGATGTTCTGCGCCCGGGGTATTTGGTCTAGTTAGTATTCGTCGAATTCTAGTAGTAGATTATGGATTTTTGTCTAGTATTTCTGTAGCCTCTTCTCCTTGATCTGGAAAGGTCCGGTTACTTGGTTTACGATGAGTTGAGAGTCGTAGCGTAGGATGACTCGTCGTGCACCATATTTGAGGTCCAATTTCAGTTCTGCAATTACGGCCTCATACTCGGCCTCATTATTAGTCATTTCAGGGCACCGAATGGATTGGCGAATCACTTCGCCCGTTGGGACTTCAACTACGAGTCCCAGTCCAGATCCCGACGCGTTGGATGCGCCGTCGGTGTAGAGGACCCTGAGGTCGGGTCGCCCATGGGAAGCGCGAAGTGCTTCTTGCTTGACCTCAGACAGTATTTCTATACTGAATTCAGCGATGAAGGCGGCAAGTACTTGCAATTTTATCGCGGTTCGCGGTTGATATGTGATATCGTGCTCGCTTAATTCTATGGCCCATTTGGCCAATCTACCCGACAGCTCAAGTTTGTGCAAGATGCTCCTGAGGGGAAACGTTATCACCACCTTTATGGGGTGACACTAAAAATATGGTCTAAGCTTACGTGAAGCTACGACCAACGCCAGAACCAGCTTTTCGAGGTGGGGATACCTCGTTTCGGCGTCAACTAAGGTTTTGCTGATATAGTAAATTGGAAATTGTGTACCTTTGTTTTCGTGGACCAAAACCGTGCTTACCGCGACTTTAGAGATGGCCATGTAGACAAAGAGGCATTTGCTTGGATCTGCCTTGGCGAGCAACGGTGGCGAGGACAAGTAGCTTTTCAATTTTCTCAGGGCATCAACACACTCTGAATTCTACTGGAGCCCGTTGTCTTTCTTTAGCACACTGAAAAATTTATGGTACTTGTCTGACGATCGTGAGATGAACCTTGACAGTGCGGCTATACGACCTGTCAATTTTTGCACATGCTTTTTGCTGGTTAATAGTTCTAGTATTCCCTCGATGGCCTTAATCTGATTTGGATTGACCTCGATGCGCCTTTGCGACACCAGGAAACCGAGAAATTTGCCTGAGGTTACGCCAAAGGCACATTTTTTGGGGTTTAGTTTCATGACGTACGACCTTAGTATATCGAAGGCTTCCTTCAGATGATCGATGTGTTCTTCTTTCCTTTTCGACTTAACCAACATGTCGTCGATGTAGACTTCCATTATTTTGCCGAGTTGATCTTTGAACATCTTGGTGACCAATCTCTGGTACGTCGCTCCTGCATTTTTCAGTCCGAATGGCATGACCCTGTAGCAGTATGTTCCCTGGTGAGTGATGAAAGTGGTTTTCTCCTGGTCTTCTTCCTCTATGAGGATTTGGTTGTAGCCCGAGTAGGTATCTAAGAAGCTTAGCAACTCGTGTCCTGCTGTTGCGTCGATGAGTTGGTCAATGTGTGGCAATGGAAATGAGTATTTTGGGCATGCCTTGTTTAAGTCTGTGAAATCCACACACATCCGCCACTTTCCATTTTCTTCTTTACCATGACCACATTGGCGACCCACTAGGATATTTTGACTCTTAGACAGAGCCATTTACGAGTAGCTTATCGACTTCTTCGCTGATGGCTTTGTTGATTGCTGCATTGAACTTTTGCCTCATTTGCCGCACTAGCGGGTAAAGGGGGTTAACATTCAGTTTGTGCATGGCGATATCTTTCGGGATGCCTAGCATATCTGCATGGGAGAAGGCAAACAGGTCGACACTAAGTTAAGAATTTACGAAACTTACCTGGTTCTGAGAGATTGTGCCCGATATAAGCCTTTTTTGTGCTGCCATTGTCATATAGTAGGACGGGATCGAGATCCTCTATTGTTGACTCGGATGCTTCGACGATGTCGGGGTCCTCTATAACGTCTATCCGTACATCAAGTTTGGTTCCCGACATCGCTGATTGCTATGCTTCTGCACTTGCTCCTTTTAGTTGTTGGGTGTGTGTGCAATCCTGGGAGATGCGATAGCATTCCTGTGCGGTGCGTTATTCACCCCGGATGTTGAATACCCCCCATGGAGTAGGGAACTTTATTACTTGATAGAGACTTGACAGGACTGCTCGCATGGTGTGTAACCGCGGGTGCCCAATGATAGCGTTGTAGGCTGTATCTTGGTCCATGACATGAAATGTCATTTCCAGGGTGACCCCTATGGCTAGGATGGGTAGCACTATCTCTCCAGAAGTTCGCTCGACTGCATTATTAAAACCCGTTAGTGTTATTCAATGTGGTATTATTTTATCTTCTAGTCTCATCTGTACGAGCACTAGAGGATGGATAATACATGCGCCACTTCCGTCATCTACCATTATTCTTTTTACATCAGTATCTGCAATACATAAAGTGATAACAAGTGCATCATAGTGAGGGAAAGACAAACTGTCAGTATCTGATTTATCAAAGACGATACTATCTTCGACGTCATTATACCGTTCATGAGTAATCGACCGTTTGAGCTTATGAGTGGTGGTGATCTTTACATGGTTTATTGTTGTGTCATCGCCTCCACCAATGATCATCTGTATGGTGTGAGCGGGAGAGGGCAGTTTTGGAGGTCCCTGAGGTTGTTCGCGTCCGCGGGCAAAGTTGGCCCGTCCTCGATTGCTTAGCAGTTCTTTCAGGTATCTTTGATTCAACATTCTTACTACCTCATGCCGCAGTCCTATGCAATCTTCGATTTTATGACCCCTTTCCTGGTGGAATTCACAGAGAGCGTTCGACTTCCGAGTGCTTGGGTCAGACTTCATCTTTTGTGGCCATTGTACTTTCGTATCGAGTTTCTCTAGTACGTACACTATTTTTGAAGGAGAGTCACAAAAATTGTAAGAAGATAAGAGCGGAGGCATACCTTTCTCATGTCGGTGTGGTGCTGCATGTCGAGGAGAAGCATTCGAGTGCCGCGGAGGAGGTGGGATAGATGTCCTGATGTAGGGCCGATGCCTTTCTCGACCAAGACAGGGCCACAATCGATCTTTTCGACCATCGTTGCGATGATATTTCCTTGCTTCAATTTGAACTGATGTCAACCATTGGATCGGACCGTTGAGGTCGTCCTCATCGGCTCTTACTTCGGCGCAGTAGGCATTATGGATTTCTTCCCAAGTGGTTGGGGGTATTTCATAAGCCTACTTAACAATTTTTTGGTCGCTCTCAACCCATTCCTGTTTAACCCATTCTGGAAGGCTGCTACCGCCATTCCCTCTGACACGTTTGGCAAGATCATTCTCACCCTATTAAACCGAGCTAAGAAGTCCCTGAGTCCCTCACCGTGCATCTGCCTGACAACAAATATGTTATTTACTCTAGCTTCTGCCTTTTTAGTTCCTGCATGAGCGGTGACAAACTTGTCCGCTATTTCTTCAAAGGTTGCTATCGATCAAGCCGGTAGTTGTGAGTACCAGGTCAGGGCTCCCCCTGTTAGGGTTTCGCCAAACTTTTTCAATAGCACCGATGGTACCTGTTCTTTCGAAAGATCGTTACCTTTTACGGCTGTGACGTAGTGGATGATGTGATCTTCTGGATCGGTAGTACCATCATATATCTTTAGGTATGGTGGCCTTTTGAAGGTCTTTGGAATGGTGTAGGGGGCCACTTCCTCATTATATGGTTGCTCGATGAAGCGACCAATGTCTCGTTTTGGTAAAAATTTTGGGGCGCCTGGTATTTTACCAACTCTTTCTTGGTTCTCCTTCATCTGGTCACGGAGTTCCTTATTCTCATTTTCAATCTCCTCCATTTCCTTTAAAACGCCTGCGAGCGTATCATTACATGCGTCAACAATAATGTGAGTGTTACCTGTGCGGAGGACATCTCGTCGTCAGTGACCGCTGTGACATCTACATGTGCAATGTCTCTGTTATCCTTTTGGGAGGGTTTATCAAGTATATTGTTCAGAGTACTTGTTATCCACTCTTCTATTAGTCTTCTTACTGTCGGTGGTTCCTCTCCTGTTGTAGACGTGGAGGCTTCCTTCTCGCGCAAAATGGTTACACTTTCGTGCGGGGGAGGTGAAGCATCTCCCCTGGGTGTGATGTTTGGTGTCCCGTCTTCGTTATCTTCCCTACTATCTTCATTAATGGTGTTCAGGATGTTAGTTGTGACACATGCTAATACTATTAGCCTTGCCTCTCCTTTTCCTGCCATTGTTAGTTTGTGCAAAACTAGGAAGAGGCGACTGTTGTTTTCTATGATCTAGATGAAACTGAAATCTAAACTAAAGATGTCCCTATAGATGGCGCCAAATTGTTTGACCAAAAGATGTCAAAACCTTTTTGATTAAAACAACTAATGATAATGATGAGGTCAATCTTAGTCAAGCATAATAAAATCTAGATCAAATGATAGAAGGAGTAAGCAAGATGAATGATATAACAAGTAAGTTCAAATCAAATAAATGCTCATAAGTGTGAAGACTTAAATGCACAATAGAACCTTCACATATACAATCGGTATAATGGGGAATAAGTTTGAGATGATTAGGGAATCTTAGGATCTTCTCTGAAGAACAAGACTGCTTTTGCATTCAATCTCAGATGACTCTTTTACAAAGTGTTCTTTTGCCTTTTTTCTTCCGTCTCCCTTCTTCTTTACTTACCCCCTATTTATAAGGGATAATCTCCCCAAAACCCTAAAAAGTACAACATAAAGAATATTCGAAAAGCATAATCTTTCTGTCTCCCACTAAATTTATGCTATCATGGACGTTATGCATCGACTGACCGCCCCCAGTCGTTACCTTTCACCACGACGTCCATCAGATGGTGCATCATGATAACCTCATTCCTCATCCTACTCGGTAATGGTCGTAGTTTCCAAATTTGGACCCATACAATGATATCATAGTTTCTCAAAAGCTCCAACCACCTCCTCTGCCTCAAATTTAGCTCCTTCTGCTTGAACAAATACTATAGACTCTTGTGATCCGTGAACACCTCACACGACAAGCCATATAAATAATGACTCCAAATATTCAGTGCGTGAACAATGGCTGCTAGCTCTAAATCATGAACAGGATAATTCTTCTCGTGGATCTTCAACTGTCCCGAAGCATATGCAATAACCTTGCCATTCTGTATCAACACCGCACCAAGTCCAATACGAGATGCATCACGATATACTGTATATGACCCTGAACCTGTGAGTAATACCAACACTGGTGTTGTAGTCAAAACTGTCTTGAGCTTCTAAAAGCTCGCCTCACACTCGTCCGACCACCTGAACTAGGCACCCTTCTGGGTTAACCTGGTTATCGGGGCCGTAATAGATGAAAACCCCTCCACAAACCGATAGTTTTAGCCCGCCAAACCCAAGAAACTCCGGATCTCTGTGGCTGATATGAGTCTAGGCCAGTCCTTGATTGCCGCAATCTTCTTAGGATCCATCTGAATACCCTCTGATGATACAACGTGACCCAGGAATGCTACTGAACTCAACCAAAACTCACATTTCGAAAACTTTGCATACAACTGACTATCTCTCAGAGTCTGAAGAACAACTCGTAGGTGCTGCTCGTGCTCCTCTCGGTTGCGGGAGTAGATCAATATATCATCAATGTGGACAATCACGAAGGAATCCAAATAAGGCTTGAACACTCGGTTCATCAAATCTATGAAAGCTGTTGGGGCATTTGTCAACCGAATGACATCACTAAGAACTCATAATGCCCGTACTAAGTGCGAAAAGCTGTCTTAGGGACATCGGATGCCCTAATCCTCAACTGATGGTAGCCAGATCTCAAATCAATCTTCGAAAATACTTTGGCACCCTGAAGTTGGTCAAACAAATCATCAATCCTCGGCAATAGATACTTGTTCATGATGGTGACTTTGTTTAACTGCCGATAATCTATGCACATCCTCATTGATCCATCCTTCTTCTTAACAAACAACAATGACGCACCCCATGGCGAGACACTAGGTCTAATAAAGCCTTTATCAAGCAAGTCATGCAACTGTTCTTTCAATTATTTCAACTCTGGCGGGGCCATACGATATGGCGGAATAGAAATGGGCTGAGTGTCCAAAGCCAAATCAATGCAAAAGTCAATATCCCTGTCGGGTGGCATACCTGGGAGGTCTGTAGGAAATACCTCTGGAACCTCACGAACAACGAGCACAGAATCTATAGAAGGGACCTCAGCACTAGAATCACGAACATAAGCCAAGTAAGTCAAACACCCCTTCTCGACCATACGCCGAGCCTTCATATAAGAAATAACTCCGCTGGTAGAATGACCAGGAGTCCCTCTCCACTGCAATCGAGGCAACCCTGGTAAGGCTAAGGTCACGGTCTTGGCATGATAGTCCAATATAGCATGATAAGGGGATAACCAATCCATCCCCAAAATGACATCGAAATCAACCATATCAAGAAGTAAGAGATCTATACGGGTCTCAAGACCCCCAATAATAACCACACACGAGTGATAGACACAATCTATGATAATAGAATCACCCACCGGTGTGGACACATATACCGGAGCATTCAAAGAATTATGAGGCTCAATCAAATAAGGGGCAAAATAAGATGACATATAAGAATATGTGGACCCTGGATCAAATAGAATTGAAGCATCTCTACTGCAAACTGAAACCGTACCTGTGATAATTGCATCGGAGGCCTCAGCCTCAGGTCTGGCTGGAATAGCATAACATTGGGGCTGGGACCCACCATTCTGAACTACATCCCTAGGACAGCCTCCTGTTGGCTGGCCTCCACCTCTACCTGCCTGACTTCCACCTCTAACGGGCTGACCTACACCTCGACCCCTACCTCTAGCTAGCTGGGCAGGCGGTGGAACACTCGGTAGTGGAACCATAGAACGAGAACCCTAATGCTAAGAACTGCTCGAGGCTCGAGGGAAAAACCTACCAATGTGCCTCGGATCACCACATGTATAACAAGACTTCGGCTGTTGAGACTGCTGACCCTGAAACCGACCCTGACGACCTGAGTAACCACCTTGAAAACTCTGGAGTGGAGGTGCACTGAGAGGAGCTGGTGGTGCACTATAGGGAAACTGATCAGAATATTGCATATAAGAACCACGGCCACTTGGAGCACCATGAGAAGCCTAGAGTGCTGAATGAAACGGCCTGGGAGGATGGCCCCTACCAAAAGAATCCATGCCTCCAGACGAGGAACCACTGAACCTACCCGAATGACGAGGCCTCTTGTCAGACCCCTGACCACTCCCCTGTAATAGAACCATCTCAACTCGCCTGGCCACATTAGCCGCATCCTGGAAAGAAATCTCACTCCCTGTCTCCTTAGACATCTACAATCTGATAGGCTGAGCTAGTCCCTCAATAAACCTCCTTATCCTCTCTCTATCTCTCGGTGGGAAGTATAATAAGAGCATGATGGGCCAAGGAAATAAATCAGGTCTCGTACTGAGTGATAGTCATAGAACCCGGCTGGAGATACTCAAGCTGCCTCTGATAGTCCTCCCTCTGAGTGATAGGAAGAAACTTCTCCAGAAATAGCTGAGAGAACTGGTCCAAGTCAAAGCCGGTGACCCAACTGGTCTGGCCAAACAATAGTCCCTCCACCAAGTGTTGGCAGAACCTAATAGACGAAAAGCAGCAAAGTCGACCCCATTGGTCACCACTATCCCCATGTCCCGTAGAACCTCATAACAGTTGTCCAAGTAGTCCTAGGGGTCCTCTGAAGATATACCACCATAGGTAGTAGTGAAAAGCTTGGTGAACCTGTCCAACATCCACAAAGCATCAGCAGACATAGCTGCTCTATCACCGGTTTAAGCTACAACACCCAGTTGAACTACCCCAACTGGCTGTGCTGCTGAAGTCTGAAACTGAGGAGCCATCTGCTCCGGAGTGAGAGTAGCGGGAGTTTGTGCTCCTCCCCCAGCCTGAGAGACGGCTGGTGCTACAAGAAGTAAGCATGCCTGGGTGACACTCTCCATTAGGCCCACTAGAAGGACTAGAGCATCCCGGAGTACTAGGGTAGCGATGAACCTCT